AGGAGAAAATGGAAGGAGAGGCAAGGCACGGCACGGCACAGCAAGGTAATGCAGTGACTGCGTGCTTGGCGGTGCGAGGTGGTGCAACTCATCTCCTGCAAGCACCTCTGCCTACACATGAGCAAGCGTGGACTTGCCCGGGGACAGACGGGGAAGCCCCTTGGCAGGGCAGGGCAGGGCAGAGCAGGGCTGGAGCACCCCGGGGCAGGACAAGGCTCCAGGCACACTCATGGTGTTGGTGTTGGTGTTGGTGTTGGTGTTGGTGTTGGTGTTGGTGTTGGTGTTGGTTTTTTGGAGGCCCAAGAGGTGCACAAAGGCCTCCCCAGAGCAGCAGGAGGAGGAAGAGAGTCAAAGGCTGCAGCGCTGACTACCCGCCTGCGGAGGCAATGGCCAGTGACCATCAGAGAGGTCTCGGAGGGTGGGAGAAAGGGGAATGCGGCACCTGGTCCCGCTCGGGAGCCCTTTGGCATCCAGGCGGGGACTGCAGGGCTGGGAGCAGCAGAGCCCTTCCTGCCAATGGGGCTGCAAAGAAGCCCACGCGAGTGCCCCAGGCCAATGTCCCCAGCCTGCACGCGACCCCTCCGGCCCTTCGCACTCATCTTCTGCAGGCACCGATGCGCTCCTGTCCCAGCAATCCTTGGGCCTCCCACCCCAGCGCTGAAAAGGAGCCTTCAAAGGGGAGCGGGTACAGCCAAACAAGGAAATGAAAAGGCAGCCGTGCAGGAAACCAAAACGCAGCCCGTATCATTAGCTGGGATGTTTTGCATTTCAGATGAGCTTCTCAGAAAATTATTACTTCCACAGAGGCTTCCCCTGGACCTGGGGCAGTGCAGGACCACTATAAAAGCCACCCCAGCTCTTCACTCTCTCATCCGCTTCGCTCCCCTTCTTCTCCTTCGGAAGCAAGTGAGTTGGAAGCCCTGTCCTAGACCGGGGCTTGGGGCTGCTGCTCCTGGGAGGGGAAGCGGGGAGAAGGTCTGGCGTGGACAGGGCCTGGGTCTGGGCCGAGGGGACTCTTGGGCTCTTGTCTAGGAAAGAGCTTTCCTGTGCCTGGCTCTCTTTGCACGGCGCGCGGGGGGACAGGCAAAGAGGCGCGCGGGGGGACAGGCAAAGAGGCGCGTGGGCCTCCCTGCAGAGCCTCCAGCTCCCCTCCCAGCACGTGCCTTGGCTCCCTCGTGGTGGGCGCACAGGCTGCTCCTCACACGCCCCCGTGCTCCTCCCTGCCCTCTCTCCCAGGTGCACCTCCAGCCCCAAGACATGTCCTGCTACAACCCGTGCCTGCCATGCCAGCCCTGCTGCCCGACCCCGCTGGCCAACAGCTGCAATGAGCCCTGTGTCAGGCAGTGCCAGAACTCCACCGTCGTCATCGAGCCCTCTCCCGTGGTGGTGACCCTGCCCGGACCCATCCTCAGCTCCTTCCCGCAGAACACCGTTGTGGGATCCTCCACCTCCGCTGCTGTTGGCAGCATCCTCAGCTCTCAGGGAGTGCCCATCACCTCTGGGTGCTGTGACCTCTCTGGCATTTCCAGCCG